ATGGCGCTGGAACTTGCTTGGTTACCGAGTTCAAATACCCGGACAGACGAAATAAGATTGTATGAAGCGCAGATACTGCAGGTTGCTTTTCGACAGAAACTATCGAATTTTTGGTACGCTTCTTCAACCTGGATAGTTTTTTCCGGAGCTGCCAGTTATCACAGTGTTTGCTGAAAAAGCTTGTACTGTTGAATGAAAAATGTTCTTTTTTTTTTCGTTGTTTAAATCTTCCTCTGCAGGTTTTCGGTAAAATGAGAAAAGATCTCGGATTTCTCTCCAGCTCTTATCGATTTGAGCAAATCATCACACTTCCTGAGCAAACCATTGTATCCTTCTTCTCAACGTGCTGCAAGCTTGGCATGTGCTTAAAATCACAGGTAAATTTGATGATGGGCTGTTATGTCTAGGCCGATAATTTACTTTTACGCATTTGCCGCTTTTTTGGCAGCATTCACCCTTGTACCGTTAAGATGGCTTGTAATTTTTTGTGTTTGATGTGAGCGAAGTTGCCCCACATGGCAGCTAACTGCAGCTGCTAGTGGTGGATCACAGTGTTTCTTTCCCTGTTTTTATCTTTATTTGTTCTTCCGGAGAGCAGCCCGGAATCATTGCTTATCAAACAATTGGTCTTTCAGTTCTCATTAATTGGTTTCTGTACATTTTTTTAGCCGATGGAATGGTTGATGCCGCTGGCAGAGCAGTTCGCATCGCCAGGGTTTGTACATGGTGCTGTGAATCGACGAGCACTGATGTTATTGAAGCAGTTGTCTCCATCGTTAGAAACCTATTATCAACATAAGGTATTTCTTTTAATTTACTCGTTTCAGAACTTGCCACAGTTTGTCTTCCAGGACATCATCGTTATTTTGTATCCCTTTCAAAAAGTACTGGCTTGGACCTCAGTATTGGCGAAAGAAATTGGGAACTGCCCTGCTGACGATGAGTTCTTATAGGACAATTTCCACTCACACAAACTCAAGTTTTTTTTTGTTTTTGTTTTTAGGCCCTGAAGTAGTAGTCCATCGTTAGGATAAATTTGCCGCAAATTGTGTATTATGACGCCGGCCCGACGGAATCTCATGTAAAGTTGAACCGAAATCTGTAACAGATATTTCTTCTGTTTCAGGATAAAATTCTATTTGCTTCGTTACAAATGCACCAAGAATGCGGCACCTTACAACTTTCACTTTTCAACAGCATTGCAGCACAACTAAAGCAATTGCTTTTGCAACGAGTTTTATCCTTCCGTCGCAACTGTGAGTTTGTACACGTTATAGTCCACAGTTACGCTTGCAATTTGTATGCAAATAGCCATATTTCTCGTACAGTCTCGCTCACTAAATCGATAGTGTGAGCAGCTAAAATTCACTGTGCTCAGCTACCGCCCACTAATTCGAGCCGAAAACCGAAATATCCAGCGTTGGCCATCACTGGAGCACATCTTCGATTTTCAGCATGGAAGCAAGGCTGCTTGTGTTGCACCTTTCTCGTCGAACGAACCTTATCACCAACAAATTAAAAAAAAAACTGCGCACTGATTAAAATAAAAAGGCGTCGCGCAGATGTGTTTGTTTCTTGTATGTACCTAGTAATATTGAGCCATCATAGCAATAATACTGCGGGTTTTTAATGGCTTTATTGTCTCCGTTTATCGGATTTTTTTTTTTTTGTTTTGTTTTTTTGCATCATTATTAGGCTATTTTATGAGAATGCGTTATTTTGAATTGCAACAACAGCGAAAACTGTTCAGGTGGTGATATCATTTCTTTCCTGAAGCTACTGGCGCACTGTGTTCTTTCAAATGGAGTAGCAGCAGATGCAGTTCTGGACTGCCTTCTCACCATTGCCTTTATGTATCTAGCAGCTGGAAGCAGTCGTTCTACGGAAATAACAGAACTTATTTTGGAGCTATTATTTGCAGAGGTTCGTTCTTAATAGCAATTTTTTTTTTTTGTAGATTTTTTGGCCAATAATCATTTTTTATCTATTTTTAACAGCGAAATTTTACGGGTTTAGCGTCACTGAACAATCTGATCTGTTTTGTGAGAAATGAATATTTGAATTGAATTTTTTTTTTTTAGGATATTGTCATTGCTAATCGATGCAGATGTGTAATGGCAGCTATTATATCAAACTACTCTGCTACATGTGTCAAAAATCACCAGTCCTTATTTGTGTTGGTGGAAGGTGCTGCATCGGCAATTGCAGCGGAACACAAAACTTCCACTGCATCATCCACTGGTCACTTATTGACCACTAAATTTACTCCGTCAATTGTTGGTGAGCTGGAAACTGAACTACAGAATTTGCTTGTCCAGGCCAAGTCATCGTCGGAATCGGAAGGCTTTACGAGAGGTATAAAGCACCATAACTTTTGTTTGCTTATCAATTATGGGTTGATAATGATTGGATAAGTATTAACAATAATGATGCAGCAAAGATCACTGGTGTAGTGGTTATTTGTGAAGTGTGAAAAAGAGGGAATGAAGGGGACTGGGTTGAGGGGTAAGTAGTAGGGTGTAATGGAATGTAAATTTAAGAAGTTTTGATAACTGACAGAGATTTGAAGTAGCAAATTATTATCGCGACCCTAATTGTTATTTTATTTAGGCTAGTGAATACCCCGTGAGTAGGTGCGTGTGTGTGTGTGTGTATGTGTATGTAACACGCCGCGTCCTGTTTACACGTTTATTATACAGAGTAGAGTGAAAAGGTAAGATACAAAAGTAGGCGCCCAGAATAGGAATATTGGTATATAGCAGTAAGTCGCAATGGAGGTCGGTAATGGTGGTCAGTAAAAATGGTCGGTAAAGGTGGTCGGTAGTGATGGTCGGTAATGGTGGTCGGTAAAGGGGAGGAGTGCTTTTATACCCCAGGGGACAAAGATCAAAAGTTCAATGAGGGTAGGACGATTAAAGTTTGAACCAGGGACAAGGGTACTGCGTCATAGTAACGCAGTTGGTCTTTAACCTATTTTTAACAAAAAACCATTAATCACTATATGATATATTACGCTATTGCGCGATATTATGGGTTTGAAATTCGGGGGAAGGGAAGGGGAAGGCAGGCAGAGATAATAGAGCCGAGGAAAACATGAAATATCTAGTTATATCACAATCTTTGGGGAGAGTGCTAAAAAATCTGTTTATGCTTAATATTAGAACTGCTTAGGGTAAGAAAATGAAGCCTGTGACTGGGCATTGGTCAGCGATATAAAACCGTCTTACATGTCATTCTAGTGACGTTAAAAGAACGCCGGGAGAGTTTGACTTTACACTAACACAGTTTCGCCTTTGAATTTTTCTGTACACTTACTTTGATGACTTCTCTATTGTAAATTAAGTGTTGTTGCGATTTAGCCAAAAATGTGGATGAGGTTTCCATTTCAGCCGGTAAAATGTCAGTTTTATCCGTGAGCAATAGATGAAATTCCAGACATTCGTTAGTGTTCAAACAATTATAATTCAGAATCTTAGTGAAACTCTTGATCAATTTTCAGCGTTTTTTTTCAGAAAGTTTCGAGTTAGAAATTAATTTTCGTTAGAATTTTTCTAAAACATTGTGTTTTTTTTTTTTTTGTAGAAATGTTATGGATTGGAAAACTGCTACTTGCATTGGTGGAAAGACTTACTCACTGCAACTGTAGCGGAATTCGTTGCT